TGTATAATACAATGTTGTATAATACAAAATTGTATTATACTGTAAAAATATTTTAATTAACGATTGCAGCATATGATACTTGTTTTCCTGCTAGATCACTTGCATTTTAGTAAATTATTAGAATTGCACCACATAGAACGCAGATTTCTAGCTAAAACGGAAGCAATCCAGTAATTATACATATCACTCAGTATTTAAGCGAGACTGACGAAATTGATGTGTTTGCAGGTGTGTGCATGTGTGTGTGTGTGTGTGTGTGTGTGTGTGTGTGTGTGTGTGTGTGTGTGCGCGCGCTCGTGCGTGCGTGTCTGTGTGTGAATGTAAGTATATGTGTGTATGATTTCAGTTAATAGTTCACTTCTCATTGCATTGTTGTCTTATTGTTTTGGTTTGGTGGGTTTTATAAGCAATTTTATTGATGTCTAACCATTTGCAAGCTACTAATGACTATTGTATTTTATTTTATGTTATGTCTACTATAGTCTATTATACCATATTTTATGTCTATTATTCTGTTAACATATAGTTTTCTTTCTCATAAAGCTTCGCAATAAACTAAATTCAACTAATTAAACTAATCATGATTTTCTTTTCTTCTATTTCTTTCTCTGATCCGTATTTCAGTTACTCGAATATTTAAAATCCTAGAAAGAGAGAAAACAGAAAAAGAAAAAAGTGAGATAGAAGTTTAGATGGCGTTACTAGGTTAACTTACTTATTTCACACATGCGCACTTTGTTTTGGACAACATAAAATCAAGAGAATTGCTCTATTGTATATACTATGTTAGTGACATCTTTCATTCATTTGTTATACTTATTATATATCGTGTCTTTGTCTCGCTCAAACGCATTCATCTATCCTTATCTAACTTATTGCAACGTCATCTCTTAGAAGATCAGACATCTACTTCTAGACACAGGGTATGATCAACGCGATGTTGCAAATGCTTTGAAGCGTTTTTTAATTAGTCAGTTTGTAAAATTCTTCCTTCTAATTGGTCCATCAAACGCTTCAAAGCATTTGTAGCGAGACTTTGACCACAATTATTGCTTTGTTTACCATTCCGAGTCTTCGCTCAGCGTTTGTATACAACTAGTTGCTGTATAGCGATTGATTCTTATTGATGAATCCATAAATAAGAGCCAATCGACTCGGTGAGCAAGCTGCATTCTGAAACCCATCAAAAGAAAAGTGTTGCAATCTTTCTGTGACCAGCTGTACATATAAATTACACCCGTATACGTATTAAAAGGTTCACTTTCGTTGCTAAATTTATTTTAATTTTATATTAAAATTAAAATTCTATGAAAGCATTGTGAACACAGCTTAATAGACAAAACGCTTTATATGTAGATGAGTACGGTCAATGCAATGTTGCAAACGCTTTGAAGCATTTTTTAATGGGTCAGTTTGTAAAATTTTTTTTTCTAATTGATCCATCAAAATATTTGTAGCAAGACATTGACCACAGCTTATGTTACATATACGAAAAAATTTGAAAAGTTAAAATGTTCCTTTTTGGGAAACGTCGTCGTCAGCGTCGTCGATCGGCGTTGGTCGACATAGGTAGGCATCGATGTTAGCATCGTTACGGGCACAGCAACACTTTTTTTTTGCTAGATTCTTTCATTTTATGCAAAAACGCGTCGAATAAGCCTAATTTCATCAAAATCGATGAAGATGCAATATTCTAGACAATTACTGCTGCAAATATTCTTCCACTGTGCGCAAAATACTTAATATTGCATATATATTGTGTTGTAATATTGCTGCGGATTACAAATAAATATTTTTAAATAGATATTTTTATAATTTTTGCTGCAATATTACTAAAATATTGCAGCAATATTTCGCAATATTTTTGCAATATTGCAATATATGCTGTGCTGCACAGGAAATAAAAAAGAATAAACTTTATTTCATCTATTTATTTATGTATTATTCTCATAAAATCATCATCATAAAACCCGGCCAAGGTTCTAAATTCCGCGAGATATCATTGCAGATTTGTTGCTTCATGTGATAATAATGATCAATTTATCTTTTTTTTTTTATCACGACATTAACTAACCAATCACGAGCATCGCATCACTCATTGGTTGACGACTGATGATCGCTCGCCATATGTGATAAACTAGCCTTCGTGGCTTTCTCGCCCGAGCTGTCAAGTAGAAAAACGCTCCGATTTTCGTTCCGATAGTTAACGTCACGCACTACGAATGCAATCGCGTATAGAACGATACGCGCGTGCACTATGTGATTACGCGGTCGAGCAACGGTGTAGTACGTACGCACGACGACCTGGAGCCCTACTCTCTGCGGTTGTAAACATTAACGTGTAACCCACACGCGCGTATCAGCGGGTCTTCCGTTATGAATGCTTAGTAAGTATCTCCTTCGTTCTTTTCTCAAACTTGTCCGAATCCCGCCGTCGTGGCTCGAGCCGTCGTCGGTCTCGCCGAAGAAGACACGGCCAACGACGACGGTACGCCGTTACCAGTTCATATCCACTATACTCAATCAATATGGTAGTTTGCATCTCTTCGTGTTATTAATAGATATCGTGCAAAATTGATTATTTAATTTCTCCGTAAGCCTATCTCCCTTTTGTCTTAAAAAATATTATGTTTTCTTTCTCCTTGTATGACTGATAAATTATCTATAAAGTTTGTAAATTTTCTTCTCCCTCCATCCTTTGGTCGAAAAAGGAAAACACATATATTTGCATTATCAGTAGAACTAACGATTTAACATTAGTCATCAAAAGAAAGCATCTGTTTTAAATGATATATATTATCTGACTTATTTTTTATTAACAATGGGAATACTGTTTTTCTTGTTGAGATTTGCATGTAACTCTTAGACTAATCACTATCACGTTTAACAAGAAACTTACAAAATTTCTTTATACCATGCATGCAGTAACAGAGGTGCATCTGGCATATCAGGGAATGCCTTTGATTGCTGGGTTCAAAAGTCTATGCATGACGACTCTGCCATCATAAAAATGCAATACCAGTTCTGGGTGAGAAAGCAGGCTTTGTCCCAGAAATTAGGGAAGAAGGAGGATGAGTGTATAGTTGCTTCGGATGCTGAGCTGGATGCAAAGCTAGAATTATTCCGCAGTATCCAAGATTCCTGTTCCTACTTACAAAGAGTTATTGATAGATACCAAGAAAGATTATGCAGTGCGTTCTAACACACAATTTCTAATATAAAATAACTGTATTAATTGTCATAGGATATATGTATTGTACTTTCTTCATTAAGATAAATTGTATTATTAAGAAATTATGATAACGAAATAATTTAACCTGTTTAGATTTAGCCCAAGAGGAAAATGGAATGGGACGTTTTTTGAAAGATGCCGGAAAGCAAGACAAAACTCGTGCCGGCAAGATGATGTCAGCAGTCGGCAAATCTCTGTCTTATTCTGGTCAGCAGAGGCTTGCGTTGAGAGCTCCTTTGGGTCGATTATATCAAGAAGTGGAAACATTTAGGCAAAGAGCTATTGAAGATACATTGCAAAATGTGCAAGCGATGGAAAAGGCCCGTACGGAATATAGAGCTGCTCTATCATGGATGAAAAATATTTCTCCTGATTTAGATCCAGACACGTCCAAACAACTGGAAAAATATAAAAAAGTTCAAGCACGAGTTAAACAGTAAGTTCTATATAATTTTACATATTCATGTGTGTAATATAAAGTCAATCATAAATTCAAAATCTCTTTATTTAAATTATTATACTGTTTAAATTAAACAATAACTTTTCTGTTCTCACATTTTTATAAATTGGATTTAATTACATCTTCATAAAATATTGTAAGAAATTTATATATGTATGTTACATATGTATGTTACAATTTAGGGGCAAAACAGTTTTTGACAATCTAGCCCTTGACTGTCTTCAGAAGGTTGATTTACTGGCGGCAGCAAGGTGTAACATGTTCAGTCATGCCTTAGTTTTATACCAAACTACACTCCTGAATTTCACAAAGAAATCTGCACAAGCATATTCCACAATAGCTAATAGTTTTAAAGGCTATCAACGTTACGACTTCACAGTTGTGCGAGAATTGGCTGAAACCTCCAGTAAATTGGCACAGGAAACTGGTGGTGATGACGATTTAGAAGACAAGGATAAGTAAGTTAAAAAATGAAAGAAAATACTATATCATTTTCACCATAATATTGATCCTTATAGATTACCATTTTTCGACATGGATTATCACGATGATGTTGAGGAGGCTCAAGAAGCAAATTCAGAAAGCACATCAGAGAAAAATAAAAAAGATGAGAAACTCTTGGACATAGAAAATGAGTCAAAGGATACATTAATACATTTGGATACGGGTACAAATTCTTCGAAAAATGGAATCGTGCATAGTACCGACGACACAGACAAAAGTCTCGAAGAGTTCTTTGGAAATCTTATCCTGGAAAAAGATGCGTCCAATAATACTGAACAATCGGTTAATAAAATCGAGAAAACTAACACTGTATTTAGTAAAAGCTCCGAAGAACAGAAATCAGTAATGGATATATTTGAAGAGTGCAACACCGATTTTAATTTGACTGATTTGTCTCCCTTATCATCTGAGGCTCAACAACAGCAATCGTTGAATTTATTAGCCTCCGAAAGTGCAGCGCTTTTCGATGAAATCCTGAATGATAAGCAACAATGCACGAACAATGACTGGGAAGGCATATCACATGACACTTTTCTACCACTAAGCATTTTGAAACAGAGTTTAGGAGATGCTGCATTAGGTATGGGACAGAAGAGTAACACGGATGACAAAGTAAGTACTCGCGAACTGCGTTCAACAGTAATAATGCGAATGTATCACACGATTAATATATCGCAATATTCTTTTCATAGAAAAAGAATAAAACTGGAAAGCAGAAAGGTAACTCATGGTTGGATTTATTCGCAGAATTGGATCCATTGGCTAACAATCCAATGGAGAATCTTTCCGGTGATAGTAATGCTTCTGCTTAATTCACGATGCATTTTAATAGTATCGCCCTGTTACTTTATATTTGTAACAATAAGGAAAACTGATCAAACTCTCAATTGTTATCAATGTGTGATACGGTGAACATATAACTCACAGTATTTTCACTTCATACATTTGTATCAGTAATTAACAGTTTTTAAACTTTTAAATTTAACACTCCAGATTTATTTTTAATGAAATTGTCATATAAGAATCAAAACCATTTGAATTACATAATTTTTTCATGTAAGCTATAGAAGATAATACCAAAGATATAAAATGTAATATTTATTACATATGCGTTAATTATATATTCTTTCAAATATATATCATATATATAT